GTGTGTGTGTGTGTGTGTGTGTTGGGGGTGTGGGGGAGCCGAGAGGGTTAGCTGGTCTCTGTGAATCAAATGGAAGTGATGCTCAGACTGCAAAGCACCCAAGGACGGCACGGCAATTAACTTCTGAACTTGACAGGGTTTTCTTCTTCTTTTTTTTACCCACACATCAGAGACTAAAGAAGGAAACATTAATTTTTTTTTTACATATCATTTTTAATGTGGACTTTAAACCAAAAAGGTGTGGTTTTAAAGGAATCGAGCTCGTTAACAGGTGCAGTCTCTCAGGACTGATATTTTGCATGACAGACTTTGTGATTTCATGTGTATTCAAGTATTTACACGTGTTTGCATGATACGGTTATTTACATAGATTAATGCAGTTATTTGCAAGAGCAAACAGCAGCAGCCGAAGCAGCTAGCTGATTTGGGTAATAAAAAACATCCATTTTATGCTGCATATCAGTCGGCTGGTGGAGGCAACAGGTTTAGGAGGGAAACACAGATGTCCCACTCCCCTGAAATGCTCTCCAGCTTCGCCTGGGGGGTACTAAGTTGTTCCCAAACCACTGTATCTCTGAGGCTGAACCATACAGAGGACGCTCATGCTTGTAGCCAATATCTGTTTTTTTAATCAAGATAACAATAATACATTTTATTTATAACGCAAATCTCAAAGTGCCACAATCAATAAAGCAATCTATATAAAACAGCAACAAATAAAAGACCATAAAATACAGATTTCACATAAAAAATAAGAGCAAAACACATTAATTAAAGGGAAATCATTAAAAACATTAAGTAAAATGATTTTTAAGCCTGTTTTGAAACATGCCACAGTCTGTGGAGCCCTCAGATGAGGAGGCAGGGTGTTCCACAGCCGAGAAACACAAAACCAGGATGATAGGTGAGGAATGTAGACAGACCAGTAATTAGAGGTTTTTTCCTTTTGACTCAGTTTCTTCGACACAACAGGCCAAAGCGACACACTTAGACAATCCATCGATCTGACTCCTGCTCCGTAGATCACTCACGATCAAGACTTCTAGATATTTAAACTCTAAAGAAGAGGCTTGACCTGCAGGAGGCGTTCCACCGTTTTCTGGTAGAGAACCATTGCTCTTGTCGGGTTGGGGGTGAGGTTCTGCCTGGTCTATGTTCCTACCCTCATCTATGGCCACGAACTCTGGGTAGTGACTGAAACAAATAGTTCACGGATAAAAGAGGTCGAAATGCGTTTTCTCTGCAAAATAGAGATAGAAACACAGGTCAGTTGTCCAGGAGAGACTCAAAGTAGAGCTGCTGCATCAAGACCCCGTTGAGGTGGTTCGTCTAGGGTGTCCCCTGAATGCTTTCCTAGGGGGACACGCCGGAAACTAGACTATGTCTCTCGGCAGGCCTGGGAACACCTTGGAGTCCACCCAGAAGAGCTGGAAGAGGTGGCTGTGGAAGGAGAGGTCTTGAGTCTCCCTGCTCAAGCTGCTGCCCCCGCAACTCGACTCTGGAACAATGAGTGGGTAGTGGATTGATGGAGCCATGTCCAACAGAACTGCATCCTTTGCAAAAAGCAGAGTCGAATCCCTCAGGTTTCCAAACCAGACACYTGCCTGATGAACGCCACGAACTAGATCAACTTGCTGAGGACGTGGACACAGCTCTTGCTTTGGCAATGCAAGGACAAGATAGACCTCAAAACCAGAGTAATAAAAAGCAAACGGCAGTAAAACGAAACTCCTGCCTGACACAAGTCTGGAAGCTAAACAAACCAAAAGCTCCTAATTGAAACAGCAGTTCTTTTTGTCGACAACCTCCATAAAAACAAGGATTCAAGAGGCTGGAACATAAGCATGTCGGCCATATTTCCTCTCTAAACAGGTAATCAATCAGTTAATCAAGCAGCTAATTCAACAAGAGGAGAGTCCTCAGCCGTCCTCGCAGCACCGAGGCGCCGCCGACAGAGCTGCATTTGTTCGGGACTCAAAGTATTTGAAAAGCTATAATTGTGCTCTGATGAGGGGGAAGATGAAATGTTAGGCAATTAACAAAGATGCTGACAGTGAATCCTGGTGGGAGTTTGAGCGTCTGCGCCGAAAATTCATGGTAATCCACCTAAAAGTTGACGAGGCTGAGATGATTATAGGCAGAACCACAGAGCGAGGGAGACGCTTTGAGTCACGCGCAACTAGAATTCAAACTTTTTTAAAGTAAAGTTACATTTCAGGAATTTTAATTTACTTCATAAAAAGCTCGACTGATTGATGATAATCTGAGTTTCAGGCCTCCGTGGAGCATCGTCTTGCTCCACCTTAATCCAGGCGAATTTGTTGCAGGCCTGCGAGGGGAAAGCCTCCGCCTGCCGAGCTCGGCGGGAGTCGGTCAGGGGGTAATCGTGCGCTCGCTCGTCGAGGGGAGGGTGATGAATCTCTGAAGTGAATGACCTCRGCTTTTCAGTTCTCCCGTGAGCCCRATCCCTCCTCCTCCTCTTCCTCATTCATCCCTCCGTTTTTTKTCCTCATGACCTCAATCCCAGATCGCTGTGATATTTAACACTCCCTCCAGCAMTCGGAGGCTTTTCTCGTCTCACGGGGGTCAGCCGACATCGTCACCGCATGCGTGCACTTTGTACCCGTATCATACTGTGCAAAGAGAAAACTCAAACCACGGGACGCAGAACAATCAGTTAAAGCAGTTCTTATTCGCTCAGTTATTATCTTTTAAAGCAAAGGTCTGTGGAAAAGCTGTGAACAAAATATCTTACCTGTTGACTTGGATCTGCTCAGACTAACCRTTAGCTCATCAATCCTGTCAGATTKAACCCTTTTCTTCAAACTGAAGACATTTAAAGAGCTATCTACAACAAGTAAGATATTAACTGTTAACCTTTCCTCAGAATCTCACTTTTAAAAACATCAACCTATTTCATTTYGAAAATAATGATTTATGATGCTAAAACTTTTCCAAATGTTTGTTTAGGGCAGGGCTCTGCAACTTTTACAATCACAAGAGCATTTCTGCTCCTTGGTTCACTAATAAAATGTGACCCAAAATGCTATAACTGTGATTGTCAACTGGTGGTCTATGGGCCAAAGGGCGGTCATTCCAGATAGTTGGGGTAACATCACAAAATTAAAAATATATTGCAAATTTCAATATTTATTATTATTTTTACACTTTAGGGTAAAAGAAAAGACCTTCTTAATGTAAACAAAACACTTTATATAGTTTWTACCAAATTTCATAAAAACTGCAATTGTACTAAGCAAGCATGTTTTTGTTTYTAAATATTATCTAGTCTAGTTTTAAAGGTYCTTWAAGGTAATTATGATGGAGTTGAGAAAAAGATCATACTTTGAGGCTGGAAGTTGGATTACTGAAGTGATCAACTAGCATGATCTTGTCAGAAAACATGTTTATTTAATTTCAGACATGTRGAGTTTACCAMACATTAACATATAACTCAGATWCAGGAAAAWGCTCACTCACTGCTTTGGACCAAAGTCAAGCCCCACCCTGAATATGGTGTCATAGTAAACCAGGAAGTAAGTTATAGAAACAAACACTAAAACTAAATAGAGACTTAATGACTCTGTTTAAAGTAAATGGTTACAATTAATCACAAAGTATAAAAATATAGGTGGGCATCTAAAATTCAGTTAATTGGTCACAAAATAACCTTCAATCTAAAGTTTCACTCTATGTATTTTTGATCACATATTTGCAAACTGGCAGGAAAACTGCTAAAGCTCGACTTTTCTGTTGTGAGTATAAAAGACAAAAAATGTAATCTCACGTTAGCTTTGGTCAAAGCTTCAAAGAGCCGCTGCAGAGGCATCAAAGAGACAYGTTTGGCCCCAGAGCTGCAGGTTGCAGACTCCTGGTTTGGGGTTTTGTTAATTTTGCCCTTAATTATTTGTTTTTGAATCTTAAAGCAGACAGTCGACATGTCAAAGCTTCTTAAAGTCAACCCTGTGTTTAGAGAAAAAAATACCATGTTAGTTGTCTATAATGACTGCTTTGTGGTACGCCAATCAAGTAAGAAACATGGAGGGMAACTCCAAACATAGATCTGTAAAAACAAAATAACTAAACATATGTATCATATCTCAGATCTGCTGCAGTGTGAAAAATAACAAGCCAGAAACACCGTAAACTGCAACAAAATACTGTAATTCTGCTTTTAACAAAACTCTCATAGGTTTTTCCACAAAAATAATTTAAGGAGGAACCAGAAATGTGACGTTGTGTTGGAGACATTATGGTCTGGAGGAGGTACTTTATTTTGATTCATGATACTTTCTCATCATTTTTCAGTTAAACAGACCGAACATTTTCCAGCTAACCTGCTGCTTTTACAGATTTCTGCTTCCGTTCAACTCTAAATTGTTCAATAGACCAGCAAAGGATTTTTATATACTCTTTTTACGTAAGTGAGGCTTTTCCTTCGAAGGGTTTCAATTTGAAACACACAMAAGCTGCTCTGTTGGGCTAAAAAAAAAGTAAATACCATATTTG